CAATTTCCCGGCAATGGCAATGTCCCCTAACTTCCCCTACACAGCTCAGCGGGTCATCATTCAGATTCCAGTGACAGATTCTTCAAGGACTAAGGATTAAGAAAATGGTATTTTGGGGGCCTGGAGTCCAGTGTGGTTCCCAGGACTCATGTCAGGCAGCTGACAGCTACCTATAACTCCATCTCCGGAGGGATCGGTTCCCCTCTTCTGGCCTCTGAGGGTCCCCCTCTAACATAAGTATAAATAAAAATAAATTTTAAAAAGAGAGAGAAAGTGACATCCTTGAAGTTTCCTGGGTAATTCTTGTTCAGATCCGAGACCCACCCTAGGTCACAGATGGGCAGACTCTCGGCCGCCCTCAGAACCACACAGCTGTAGCGGATGAGCGCCGAGCACGCCTGCTGCAGGTGCAGGGAGGCAGAGAGGAAAATGCCTAAGATTCGCTGAGCCCAGGAGTTTCAGGCTAGCCCAGGTAACAAATCTGGTCTGGAGGAGGAGGGAGAAAAAAAGGAGGGGAAAGTGGGGAAGGAAGAAGGGGAAGAAGAGAAGGAAGGGGAGAAGGAGGGAGGAGGCAAAGGGGAAAGGGGAAGAAGAGGAGGAGGTGGAGGAGGAAGAAGAGAAGGACGGGGAGGCGGAGGGAGAATAGCAAATCTTTGCTTATGGAACTCTGCATCTGATTGTTTCCTGTCACCAGGAACGCACTGCTTCCCCTCCCCACTTCCTCGGCCTCCTTTTTCTTTCTGTGCTGGGACGGAAGCACACAGCCTACCTTGACTCTTCATTTTTTTTCCCCTGACCATTTACAAGTATAAAAACTACGCTTTGCTTATGGGCAGGAGGGTGGTTTTGGCAGGGAAACTGAAATCTGCCTGACATAGACTGTCAGCCTCCTGGAATCTCTGTGGAGAAAGAGAACTGTCTTCATTTTCCACAGCAGAGCATCGGAACCAAAGACTCAGAAGTGGCCTTCCCCTCCTCCCCTCTGTTTGATAGATGAGGAGCAGAGAGGGAGGGGCAGACATCTAGGTCCCTTACTAGTGAGACTGTGTCAGGCCAGAGCCCAGGCCTCTCCACTCCAGCCCTATCTACTGTTTGGCACTCACTCAATTCCAAGGCAGATTTTACAATCACCTCCACAACCCAAACCCTCCTGCCACGAGCTCATTAACGGCGCCTTTCTTTTCAGGAAGGCAGAGACGGACTCATCCCACTCAAGTTCTGTGCAGCTGTAAGGAACACACACTTGCACTGGGAGTGTAAGGGGTGCTCTGATTAGTAGAGAGACACTGTGAGATGCCCTGCAAGGTTAGGCACAGACCAAGAACTGGCTAAGTACTAAAATTCTGTAAGAGCCAACAGGCCTGTGTTAAACTGTTCTACTGTTGTGAAGAGACACCATGATCAAGGCAACTCTTACAAAAGGAAGCATTTCATTGGGGCCTTGCTTACAGAGAATTAGTCTCTGACCAATATGGCAGGAAGGATGGTGGCAGGGAGGCATGGCACTGAGAGCTTACATCTGATCCGCCAGCAGGCAGGCAGGCAGGCAAAAAGAGAATGAGCCTGGCATCCCCAACCCCCCATGACACACCTCCTCCAACAAGGCCATACCTCCTGTTCTTTTCCAAACAGTTACACCAACTGGGGACTATGCGTGAGCCTATGAGGACTATTTTCATTGGAACCAGCACAGGGCCCATTCGAACTCACCTCAGGGAGAGCTCTAAGGCAGCGTTCACTCGAGATCTTGAGAACAAAGGGCAGGCTACTGTTATACAGAAGTTGCCCTTGCAGGGGAAGCGAAGGCCAGTGAGTCTGGCAGGCCAGGACAGTCTCTGCAGAGACCTCATGCCCAGGACACACAATGCTGGTCTGGATCGAAGCCCCCACACACTCAGTCCTTGTATCTCTTATCATCTTCATTCTCTCCTAGACCCAAACCATCCAAGCACTGAATAAAAGTGATCAAAATCAGTCTTCGAGGGGTGTTCCTTGATTGTGGACCTTTGGAATAGGTGTCTTTGCAGGGCGCCTATCCCAGCCGCATAGAAAGCACTCTTCAACAGCAGCAGTAGCAGCAACAACAGCAGCAACAGCAGCAGTAGCAGCAACAGCAGCAGGAACAGCAGCAGGAATAGCAGCAACAGCAACAACAGCAGCAGGAACAGCAGCAACAGCAACAACAGCAGCAGGAACAGCAGCAGGAACAGCAGCAACAGCAACAACAGCAGCAGGAACAGCAGCAACAGCAACAACAGCAGCAGGAACAGCAGCAGCAGCAACAGCAACAACAGCAGCAGCAACAACAACAGCAAAAACAACAGCAACAGCAACCACCTTTGAAGGAAGGATTGTCCTCCCCTTCCCCCAACCAGGGCCCAACCAAAAGGAGGCCACCTTCATCCTCTAGGTGACTGTTCATTCATCTGCTCTTTGTCACGTGAGCTTAAGAGTTTAGTGCGTTCTGTGTGCGATGAGCGCTCTGAAAGCATCGCCCCCCCAAACTTTTACATCATGGAAATTCAACTCCAGGAAACCAATATTTACGAATGACTCAGAGGTGCCCAGGATGTAAACATTTATAAAAACCCTAGGAATAAGAAATTCCTGAGCCGCTGGGTGGTGATGGTGCACGCTTTTAATCCCAGCAACTGGGAGTCAGAGGCAGGCGGATCTCTGTGAGTTCCAGGCCAGCCTGGTCTACAGAGCTAGTTCCAGAACAGGTTCCAAAGTTAGAAAGGAAGGAAAGAGGAAGGGAAGGAAGGGAGGAAGGAAGAAAAGGAAGGAAGGAAGGAAGGAAGGAAGGAAGGAAGGAATTAATTCTTAGCCATGGATCAAGCCATCCCTCTATCTCTTAGGCTGTTTTCTCCGTTTTGCAGATAATGCCCCTAGAAGTTAAATGACTTCTTGTCAGGACCACTTGGAAATATAAATGGACACAGTCTATTATTTCAGACCTCTTTCCTGCTATTTGTTAGATTAAAATTGGCTAGATGAAGCTAGATAAAGGCATGGACCTGCAGCCTTGGTGTCTTACGAATTTGCTGTTCTCTGCTGCCCCCTGTTGATGGGAGAACGGAAGAGTGCGTCCCAAGCCCATCTTGCTCAGGTCCTAGACACAACCCCTCTGCTGACCTAGAAATCCCAATCATGGGATCCTACCTCCACAAGACTGCCTTAGAAGCCATGGGGGTGTGGCTCAGCATCTGTCGATTCTGCTGCAACCTGAAATTGCTGTTCTGTTTTAGATACTAATGATCTGGCTCTTTAGGCATTATTAAAAAAAAAAACAACCAACCAAACAAAAACTCTCCACACTTGAGCTTCTGTCCTCAGGCTCAACGTGCCTGAGTATATATACATAACACTAGCCATACCAAGAGTGCCTTTACTTTCATATCTTTTCGTTACTGGGAGTCGCCTAGTCCCCCCCCCCCCCCCCCCCCCCCCCGCATGCTAGACAACTGCCCCACAACTGCCATCTGTCTCTAGCTACATTCGTTCCTGCAAGTGGCTCTGTAGCAGCCCCGGAGAAGTACACTAGAGGGGACAACATACCCTCTAAGTTGAGACAGAGATGGGAAAGGCTCCAAAAGTGTCACGGCCCTAGGTCACCTGACTTTTGAGTGTCAGGGTTGGGTCCAGAGTCAAGGCTTCTGTTTGGATATCCATGCTCAGGACTTCAGTGGCTGCAGCAGGGTTTCTTTGCTATGGGGCTGCCCTGCGGATTTCAGTGCATTCAGCAGCATCTCTGGGCTCTCCCCACTAGATGCCAGCAGCATCCCACCCTGGTTATGACAATCACAGATCTCTCCAAACATTGCCAAGCACCCCTGGCTTAGAGCCCTTGCCCCACCACCGTCATACAAATAAACAGTTGGCCAGCAATGTTTGGATTCTTTGGAGGCCCTTTCCATACAAAAAGCTTCTTTCTGCTTCTAGGCCATCTAGGGTCAAAAATGCCACACTGAATGTGGTCCCCAGCAATGCCTCAAGGAACAGTTGTTCTGTAATACCAGCTAGTGTTTGGGGGTGTAGCCAGGTTTTCCAGTTGTCCCTAAACTATTATTCATGGCCGTTTCCTACCCCCATCAAGATAGATCCAATCCGGTCTCTCTGATTGCACGTGGTCACTGTTGAGTCTCTGCTGGTGTAGAGCAGACAATGTCTCGTGGGTCAACCGTGGCCCCCGCATGCCTTTGAGATAGGTTTCTGCTGGAAGGTAGCCGTGCTCATTCGGTGATGCGCCTCTGGTTCTTGGGCTACCGAGTTACTTTGAAAGAAACTCCACAACAGCTAAGATGTTTGCAAACTTCATAGAAAAAGTTCACCAACTCGTCAACTAGCCCCTTCTCCTGATTTGTCATGTGATGTTGGCAGCTCAGAATCAAAGACAAAAGGCCTCTTCTTTATTTAAAAACAAAACTCCTTACTTAGTTAAATTTCTTTTTCTTTGCTGGAAACAGAACGAAGGGTCTTCGCGCACGCTGGGCAAGCACTCTGCTGCTGCGCTGCATTCTGGCCCCAAACTCTCCTTTTATATTTTGATTATAAACACTTAGACACTAAATTTGTAAATTAAAACTTAATGACACATGCGTGTACATACACACACACACACACACACACACACACACACATCTTTCTGAGACAGAGTTCCATGTAGTTCTAGCTGGCCTCAAACTCTCTATGCAGGTGAGACTGGCCTTGAACTCCTGATTCTCCTGTACTTCCCAAGTGCTGGGATTAAGGGCACGAGCCATGATACCCAGCTCTTAAAATAGAAACTCTTGGGGCTGGAGAGATGACTCAGGTTCTGAACACTGCCTGTCCTTGCAGAGGACCCAGGCTCAGACCCCAGCACCCACATGGTCGCTCACAGCCATCCTCCTCTGACACGGACACCAGGCACACACGTACATGTACACACATGAAGACAAACATTCATACACATGGAATAAATCTAAAAAAGTATGAGAGTATTATTGTTTTTTGTGAGGCATTAAAAGACTTTATTACTAAAATCATAAATGTAACTGAAAAGCAAACAATACATTAGAAATAATACCACCACCAAGGGCTCATCGCAGCCCACATTTTATTTTTCCAGGAAGTAGAAAAGAGAATGTCATTGGCACAGGACTTGAGTTACAAACAGAAGTGAGCGCCTTGATTATTTCCTGTATGAGTTTTCACACATTAACTGGTAGGAAAAGAAGTGGCCTCCCTTAGAAAACCATAGCACATGATTCTACGTGCACACACCAGCACACACCAAGAGCCAGATGTGCACAGGAGAGCCTCAGCTCTGGGGGCAAGCCCAAGTCCCAGCATCATGGTCGGTATTCAGAAAGCACTAAATAAATGCTCATGGCTAGATGAATGGATGAGTGTGTCAGTCAACTAGACAGGGAAAGTTTTCCCTGATAGAATAACCACAGCAGCTTGTTAGGCTGTCTCTTTCATGAGCGTAATATGTACACACATACACCATACAAAAGGCTTGTATTATCGTTCTGCCAGGAGCTCAGGCATGCTCAGTGCGCTGAAATGCAGTTAGATGGACCTGGTTTCAGGTCAGGACTAGCTGGCTCATGCACGTGGTTATGTGGAAAGCTAGAAGCAGGTGATCTCCTCTCTCAGTTAACCCAGAGCCTTCAGGGGCGGCGACGTCTCCCTCGGTCCTCAGACACAGTAAGCCCATCCTCCTAACAGTGTAAAAGCCACAACACAAATGGGATAAAACACGAGGTCGTTTCTTCTTCTCCAACGTGCCATTGAACTAGCCTCCCCAAGCCATGATATATATTTCACAATAATCCTTCAGAAATGAGAGTTACCAGTCACGTGCTTCTGCGCAGCTCACGTAAACACACCGGAGTAGGATCCTGGTCAGAAATAAGGCTTAAGACTTAGGGCATTCCTGGCTTGCTCTGCAGCAGCGGATCCTTCTCCTGGTTTCCTCGGAAGAATGGGGCTTTTGCACGGCTGAGGAAAACACTCAGGCTTCTGCCTTTGACCGTCTTCCCAGGGCAGTTTCCTATAGGTTTGTAAGCCTTGTGTTTTCTGAAAACAATGTGTTGGACAGGATTTTAAAAAATACCTTCCGCTGAACTAAATTCCTCTCTACAGTGTTTTTCATGCCAGGTGCAAAAGAGCTAACCATTCCACCCAGTCTGTCGCTGGCGACGCCCCAGCATCTTAGGGGAGCACAGCTATTTTCTCTTCAAGTAAAAAGTACCCACTTTGAAATTTTGTTAAACATTATATAGACAGACACAATTTTGCCAAGTTACTGATGTCTGGCAGCACTTTCAGGATTAAAACAAACAAATCCAAAACCACAGTAAAATTAATAGGTCCCAGTTTGGTATTTATTGTTCAATGGATGAGTTTCTTCTCATACACAAAATATTTAAATGGAAAAAAAGAAACTGGTATGTTTGTATGCAAGAATGCTATTTGCTTTTGACTGTCTGCTATAGAGATACAGTACAGTGTTAAAATCAGAAACTTACTTGTATAGCAAGATGGTAACCATGGTGACAAACACGGCCAGGCAGCCGATGGAGATCAAGGCACCATTCGCCATTCTCAGCGGGGAGACTGGGTCTTAAGGCAGAAGGAAAACCCTGTGAGTTGTGTTCCATTGAAGGACATCTGCTTGTGATGCTGCTGAATGGGGAACGGAGCTGCTGCAGAAGATACTACTCCACTCTACCATTAGGCGACCTTTCCCATCAAGCAACCTATAGACTCTGGGTTGAGCAAAGTGCGCAGGCATGGATAAATGTCACAGTCTGGTGACACCCTCTCAGGACACTGCTGAGCTGTTGGCACCTGCATGCTAACAGGCTCTTATGTTCCACTGTGCTGGCCTCTGGTCCCATCTCATGCTATATGGCTGCCCCTATGCTAAAAACCCTAGAATTCTGGGAAACCTCCATGGCCCCTGCTGGGACCTCCCTTCCCTGGCTCATCTCAGTTTCCTCGATTCTGAAGGCACCACTCAGTCCTTCTCACTTCCTGCCTGCTTCTTCCTAGACCTGGGTCGGAGTCTTTCAATATTGCTTTCCATAGCTCTCCTGTACTGCAAGGGCCACAGAGGCAGGGATCGCTCCTCTTTAACCAGCAAACCAACCAGTTCCATCTCTACCCCTGGCATAATTCAGTTACCTAAGCCGTCTCCATCTGCTCTCCTCTGTCCCCATCCTATCCACCAGGCCCCTCCTAGGTGGTCCTCCATTGGTTGAGCCTCCTCTTACAATCATCTCTCCACTGTGTGCATGTGTTGTGGAATATTACTTTAACTAGCAAAGATGTGCTACATTTGCTTCTGCTGCAAAGTACTTTAACTGGATAAAGGTGTGTCACATTTGCTTCTGCTGCATGTCTCTAACAATGTAAGGCTGCGTTACACTTGTTTGTACCAATGAAAAGATGTGTTGCTGTTTGGCCTTGCCTGCCTAAGGCACCTCATTGCTCTAATAAAAAGCTGAGTGGCCAGCAGCTAGGCGGGAGAGGGATAGGCGGGGCTGGTGGGCAGAGAGAATAAGTAGGAGGAGAAATCTAGGCTGGAGAGAGAGAGAGAGAGAGAGAGAGAGAGAGAGAGAGAGAGAGAGGGCCAGAAACCAGGCCAGCCGGCAGGAAAGTAAGACACACAGAAAGAAAGGTAAAAGGCCCTGAGGCAAAAGGTAGATGAGGAAAAACGGGTTAATTTAAGAAAAAGCCCGAAATGAGCCTAAGCTAGGCTGAACAGCCATAACTAATGATTTAGAGCTGGGCGGTGGCCCTAAAGAAAAACCTAGTACGTGCACGTGAGCTCTTAGCCGCCAAGGCCTCACTCTTGCTGACAGAATGAAGCTTCGGCGACCCTAGCAGTGGCCTACATGTGCTCTCTAAATGTGCTTAAATCCTTAGTCAGGAGGTCCTTTACCAAGATGGCGCTGCTGAACAGCAAGACTTGTGCCCACACCCAGTCTAGGGTGCTAACCACCGCCCTCACCTCCCACTCCAAGCCCACCCCTCTGACCTGGTTTGTTTTCCTCAAAATACCATCTTGTTAATTTGTTTACTGCCTGCGTTAGTTTAAGGCTGATTAGGTATTCTGAGTTCTGACCCAACTGACAGGTTCATAGGCGAGCAAATGGTAACCTCCTATGAGAATACTTTGTAAACAAAGACAGAAACAAGACAAAACAAAAAACATCTAGAGAGATGGCTCAGGGTTTAAGAGCACTAACTGCTCTTCCAGAGGACCCGGGTTTGATTCCCAGCACCTACAAGGCTACAAAAAGTAACTCCAGTTCCAAGAGGCTCTCCTGCCCTCTTCTGGACTCTGCAGGCACGGTACCCATGTGGTACCCAGAGGCAGGCATATACAGGAAACACACACACACATGCACGCACGCATGCACGCACGCACGCACGCACACACGATAAATCTTTAAAAACAAAAACGGCTGAATTTCAGTCATTGACATCCAGCTTAACTGACTGACTCCAGGCCTTGATGAGGAAGCAATCTTCAAAGGCTGTCCCTGGGGTCCTGATAGCCTGCCTGTACAGGGTGCTGCTCAATGGGGGCCTCCTTTGGGCCTCTTCTGACTCCAGTGTTGCTCAGTTTGTGAATCTAAATTGGTCTAAACATTTTCCTATAACACCCGTTACTGCTCAGGAAAGCAGGGGTCTCCCTTGGTTTGTTCGTTAGCCGGTGTAGACTTCTGTCCTATGTAGATCTGTGCTGGGCATTGAAGAGGATAGCTGATTGACTGTCAATTAAAAGAAGTTTAGCTAAACATCAGTGGGGTCTCTTTTGAACTATGACTATTTCCGACATTCTGATTTTGAAATTCAAGTTACCAAGTTCTGTGTGTGTGTGTGTGTGTGTGTGTGTGTACGTGCACCTGCATGTGTGTGCACGGTTGTATGTTGTACAGGTGGACTTGTGTACAGGTGGAGATAAGCGACACCTGCATGTGTGTGCACGGTTGTATGTTGTACAGGTGGACTTGTGTACAGGTGGAGATAAGCGACACCTGCATGTGTGTGCACGGTTGTATGCTGTACAGGTGGACTTGTGTACAGGTGGAGATAAGCGACACCTGCAGAAGTCTCTCCTCTTTTTGTTTGAGTCTGGCTTTCTCTTTGGCTTGGGATTTGGCCACGTATGTTAGACCAGATGGCCTGTGAGCTCCAGGAGTCTGCCTGTCTCCACCCTGGTTGTCCCGTTGTTGGGAGTGCATGTTTACAGCACCACACCTAGCTTTTTATGGAGCTTCTGAGAACCCTAGTCCTCAGGCTTGCAAGGTAAGCCTTTTACTGACTGAAATCTCTCCCCGCCCCCATCTAGGATTTTGCTATGGGCTTTGCCCAAGCAGTCCTAGAACTTGCAACCCTCCTGTATCAACTTCCTGAATGTTTGGAGTATAGGCATGTCCCACCACACCCCTTCAAATTTCTCTCTGGGTGGAACCCAGGGCTCCATGGCCTCACCCATGCCAGGCAAGTGCCTTACCTCTGTGCTCCTCCTCAGTCCCCTTTATTAGGTTATATATGTGTGTGTGTGTGTATTAGGTTTTATTAATATAAGGTTTTATTAGGTTTTATATATGTATTATTTATTATGTATACAATACTGTCTGCATGTATGCCTGCAGGCTAGAAGAGGGCACCAGACCTCATTACAGATGGTTGTGAGCCACCATGTGGTTGCTAGGAATTGAACTCAGGACCTTTGGAAGAGCAGGCAGTGCTCTTAACCGCTGAGCCATCTCTCCAGCCCCCCCTTTATTAGGTTTTTGATAGTGGGTTTAAGTCATATCTAAAGTGACCTCTCACTAGAACAAAAATCACGGAATGCGAACAGTTGAACTTATAAACCTCAGGAGATCAGTGGGTTGCCAGTAGAAGGAAACAAAATGGAATAAATTAACGTACTTTCAGGGTTTCTCTGTGTAGCACTGGTTGCTCTAGAACTCGCTTTGTAGACCATGCTGACCTCAAACTCACAGAGATCTGCCTGCCTCTGCCTCACAAGTGCTGGGGTTAAAGGTGTGTACCACCACGGTTGGCAGGCTAAGATTCTAAAGTTAATTCTGAAGGGCATAGAGCTGGGGCAGCCCCAGTTCCACAGCTCCTGGAGATCCGGGCATTGAAACACCCACAGCCCTGGCTGCTTCACTGTATCTCTCTACTCCCCAGCTTTCTGGCAGGCGCCAAGGTACCCTGTCCTGCAAGAGACAGGATACTTTTGCAACCTTGTTCTTAGGCAGGTTTTTCTTTTCCTTCCTTCCTTCCTTCCTCCCTCCCTCCCTCCCTCCTTCCTTTATTTTATCTTTTTTTTTTTTTTTTGACAAAGTCTCACTATGTAGCCTTGGCTGGCTTGAAACTCACTATGTAGATGAGGCTGGCTATGTAGCTCTGACTATGTAGTCTCTGCCTCCCAGTGCTGAGATTATGGGTGTGTGCCACCACGCTGCATTGAGGCAGGCTTTCCAAAGCTCTCATGCGTAGCCCAGACTGGCCTTGAGCTCATGGTTCTCCTGCTGTGGGTGCCTGAATCCCAGGATCAGAGGTAAGAAATACCAAGCCTGGCTCAAGGAGCAGTCTTCTGGATGAGTGGGTAAATTGGCTGGTACTGTCTCGGGCAACTCTTGGTAGACTTGAGGAAGACTTTTTAAAAAGGCCACATGAGAATGAGAGGAAGCAAGATTCCAGCTCAGTTTCTCATTTCTTTTGGCTTTGCCCTGGTGGCTTCTCCTGAAACCCTGGTTTTGGCCTCTCCTTTATGATTGTCATTTTGTTTGTTTGTTTGTTCAGTTTCCTCTGGAAATACAAACCTCTTGGCCAGTGCCTTGACGACATCTCCTTATCACACCTCACTGTCGCTGGCCTGTGGTCTCGATGGTACCCTTCACGGATGGGCTTTTCTCTGGTCATTATCTCACCAAGTCTCTCTCTTCATCGCGCTAAGTAGATTTGTGATTGGGTTTTAATGCTAGTTCTTTGCTTTTGATACATGGTTTCACTGTATAGCCCTGGATGGCCTAACTCTGTAGACCCAACTAGCCTCGAACTCACAGAGAAGCGCCTGCCTCTGCTTCCTGCAGCGTGTGCCACCACATCCAGCTTAATGCCAGATCTTAAATCCGTATTAACAAGCGTTCAAAGAATCTTGCTGTGAGACAAACACTGCTAGAGAAGCCTTTGGGGGCTTTAAATTGGGTGTACACTTCTGCAGTAGGAAATGTTCATAAAATTATAAGCCATACCTCACCTTTGCCAGGGATAGAGATCAGGGCGCTGGTGAGGGCCAGGCTTGTGCCATCACCCAGAGTGATGTTCACACAGTACGTTCCAGACCCATTGAAGGCTCTTCTCACGGATAGCGGGCACAGCTCGTCCAGAGCCACGGAGCTGCAGACCCTGGTCTGGGCCACCTGGCAGGTAGGGTCAGAGACGATGGTACAAACTTCCGTGGGAATGCTGTGACGTGGGAGCAGGGTGAGCACATGAGGGAGGAAAGAGCAATGTCAGGGCTTGTGGTGGTGGGGGTGGGAGTGATGGTGAGGGGTTTTGCTGTTTTTGAAACAGGGTTTCACACTGTTGGCCTGGAACTCATGGTGATCCTCCTGCCTCAGTTTCTTAAGTTCTAGGATTATAGGCACAAGACACTGTGCTTGCCTCTGTCATGACAGCTTTAAACAGCAGCCTTTGCTTTTCTCCCCCACTCCCTGCCTGCTTCTCTCTCTCTCTCTCTCTCTCTCTCTCTCTCTCTCTCTCTCTCTCTCTCTTTCCTTCTAAGACAGGGGCTCATGTAGCCAGGTTGGCCTTAGACTCACTATGTAGTTAAAGATAGTCTTAAATGTCTTCTCTTTTTTTTTTTAGATTTTCAAAATAGGGTTTCTCTGTAGCTTTGAGACCTGTTCCAGAACTAGCTCTTGTAGACCAGGGTGGCTTCAAACTCACAGAGATCCGCCTGCCTCTGCCTCCCGAGTGCTGGGATTAAAAGCGTGCACCACCACCGCTTGGCTCAGTCTTAAACTTCTGATTGTTCAGCCTCCACCTTTGGAGTACTGTGATTACAGGCACTACCCCGTGTCCTGTTTTATGCGGTGATGGGGATCGAACCCAGGTTTGTGTACGCTAGGATGCGCTTTACCCTGTCCCCTCTTTGTTCTTTGTTTTGAGAGAAAGGCTCCCTATACAGCCCATGCTCTCCTGCCTTACTTAGCCTCTTGACTGCTGGGGTTACAGGCACGCACCCCCTCTCCTATCCCAGCTTGTCTGGGGTTTCTAACATGTAGGATTTTGAATCAACTTCAAAGGGATGACTAGTAGCCAAGCCCTTTATTCAGGCTTGGGGTCCTCATGCGGCCTTTCCCCTGGCATGACGCTGTACTTACGTCCCTTTGCAGGTCACAATGAAGTCCTTCAGGGAGTTGTCAGGCCGTGGCATGAGCATTGGGACATCTGCTATCTGGATGATGCTGACTTCTAGGATTCCCTCTAGCGAAACAGCCACCAAAGAGAAATGTTAAAATACAGCAGAGACCAAAGGAAACCATTCTGCCACAGGCTCTTTTTCCTGGGCTGAAATCCCAGCTAAGTTAAGGAGTGAGGGGGCAAAGCCTTTGTTGGAGATGTGATCAGTGCCCTTCTGGAGAAACCTCAGGGAGCCCCCTTGTCCCCTCTGCCACGTGAGGACACAGCAAGGGGATGATCTGCCATGAACCAGGAAATGCTCCTCACCAGACAGTGGAGCTGACATCCAGCCTTCAGAACAACAAGCAGTGAACCCCCAAACCTACCTATTACAGAAACTTAGATGCACTAGGAGATGCCCCTTAACAAGAAGGAAAAGCAAACAGAAACAGCCTTCTTGTTGAACAGAAATTTAGCAAACATGGGGATTTAGCCCCCAGTGTTTTGCATTCATGTCCATGCAGGTTTTCATAGTCACATGGACCAGTTCTGCCCACTGAGACTCTTTCTCTAGAGCCTGGTCCATGTTAGAAAGTAGCACCCCCTTTCTGGGCGATGGGTTAAGAAAAGGTGACTTGGGCAGATGCTGACCCCGTGGATCACAGGTGGCTGACCCATCCTGTCCTCAGAGACAGTGTACAGCTACAACTTTTACACAATCCATGTTCTCAGAAACATGGATGCCCCAGCTGGCTGTGGTGCCCTCTGTTTTCTCTGCTGGGACCTCGGGGCAGTCCCTGAAGCATGCGGTACCTGAAGAGTGCAGGCCTCCCCTTACAAGTAGAAAAGAGAAACTTTGTAAAAGTCACACTGGAAGCAGAAGCAGTGAGCACTCCTTGCTGGCTTTCTTACCCCCGCCCCCCATCCATTGAGATTCCTGGAGGCTCACATGGGATTCAAGCCCAGGTTTTTTAGCATTTGGGCGCCCAAAGGATAAATTTCTACCAGAAAGCATAAGGCAAGCAGGAGAACAAATGGAACATGCAAACTACAAGATGCTGCTTCCTGCCAGGCGGAGGTGGTGTACACCTTTAAACCCAGCAATCGGGAGGCAGAGGCAGGCGGATCTCTGTGAATTCGAGGCCAGCCTGGTCTACAAGAGCTAGTTCCAGGACAGGTTCCAAAACTACAGAGAAACCCTGTCTCAAAAAACAAAAAAAAACCAAAAAACCAAACAAGATGCTGCTTCCTATGTTTGCATCACCTTGGACCAGACAGGTGACCCTGCTCCTTCCCCTCTACCCTTCTAGTGTTAGCAATGTGAATGGGGTTGGCCTTGTAGACTGTGGCATCTTCTCCACAGGTCTTTAACCTTACCTACGATTGTGAGGGTGGCTCTGAAGTAACCGTATCTGTTTATCTGGCAGCTTTTGCTGGAAATGTCACTCAGCTCCATGGAGTTGTAACCTGTAAGCACTAGAAAGTTCAAGGAATAAAAGTTTAAAATAAGAATGTAGTGGAGGTAACATGATATAACAAAAATAAAGATACTTGTCCATCTGTTCTTTATTATTTTTGTTTTGGTGGGTTTTGGTGTTACTCTTTCTGCAGACAGGGACTCATGTAGCCCAGGCTGGTCTAAACTCACTACATAGCCCAGGCTGGCCTTAACTCCAGGTCGTATTCTTCCTACTGCCCATGTTCTAAGATTGTAAGTGTGAACTGTATACCTAAGGCACCATCTACTCCAAGCTCCATCTTCTCTTTAGAAGAAGCCAGGCGTGGCGGCACGTGGCTCTAATCTCAGCACTCGAGATTGTGAATTCAAGGCCAGCCTGGTCTACATCCCAAGTTCCAGGACAGTCAGGACTAAGAACCAAAAACCAAAAATCAAGACCAAATCAAAACAAGCACTCTACAATTTTTCAATTAAGGCAGAAACTTGAAGTAAATGTGTGTAGATTTCTATAGGTGTAGGCATTATGGCCATTTAATTCCATAAATAAACTGTGGGGAGGGGAGGGAGGAGAGTAAGCCCTGAGTGAGTGAAATCCTAAGTGAATGCGTGCTATTGGCATGGGTGTGGCCATATCAAGGACCCCAAGGGCTGAGCTCCGTGAGAAATGCAGAGCCTTCCTCAGGGGTCCAAGTGTGAGTGTGAGCAGTGTGTGCAGACAATGGCCACCGCAGCTTCCTCTCCCCAGCCCGAGTGTTGACAATGTGTGCAGGCAACAGCCGCCACAGCTTCCTTTCCCGAGCCTGAAGACTGTTCCCAGGGAGCTGGACCACGCCCCCTGACTCGGCTGTGTGCAGTAACTCTGCCTCTCTCTTCACCTGAATATAATAAACATGCTAAGCTTCTGGGGTGCTGAGGCTTCTCCATCCGAGAGCCCAGACCACCAGACCCCAACTTTCTGTCTGAGTATGCGTCTGTCTGTCTTGTCTTCATTCCCTGGACATCTAGTCTGGTCAAGTCCCCAGCGATGGAGCGAGGACTCAGGAGTAAACACCCTCTCCTGTTCAGGCGGAGCTGGCGATGGGAACCGATTGCCCACACCAGGCAAGTTCAAAGCACAACCCCAGATGTCTTTTTGAATAAGGAAGCAAATGAAAAGTGGAAATCCTGTTAGAATGCATGGACAGGCCGCAGTAGAGAAGCCCCCTTCTCATCGGGAGGCAGCTGTCCTGGCCTTAACTCTAGCAGCCTGTCTGCTCACACACCATTTAACTCATCCTTGCTGCCGTTCGCTCATCAGCAAAAGAGCTCTCTGACCTCCTGAATTTAAACCATTTAAAGCAAAGTGAGCTAAAGCAAGTGTTGCCTGCTTCTCTGCCAGGTGTGGTGTTCATGCCCCTGATGCCAGCACTCAGGAGGCCGAGGCAGAGGGATTGCTGTGAGTTTGAGACCAACTATATAGACTTAACCTATATAGTTAAGTTGGGTTACCATGAGAGACTTTGTCTTAAAGCAAACACCAGAATCTGCTGAGGTGTTGAAGGAGATGACTCCCATAGGTCATAAGTCACCCAGTAGCTGCCTGGGAAGGATGGAGAGGTGTGATCTGAATCTAGTGGAGGAGGTATGTGGGGGTGAGGAGGGAGGGGTGCTTATGGTTTGAAAAGCTTCCTGTCAAAGTGCTCTTTGCATTCCTGTTGGCAAGTGAGCTCTCAGCTGCTGCTCAGTGCCTGCCTGCCTGCTGCCTGCGGGGCTGCCCGTCACCATAGTGATGGGCTCCTAGCCCTCTGACACAATAATACCAAATAAACCCTTTCCTCTATAAGTTGCCTTGGTCATGGTGTTTTATCACAGCACTAGAAAAGTAACTAAGACACCAACCAACTTACAAACAAGAACCCAAAGCAGTCACAGAACTTGGCTGCTCGTAAGGCTGCCACGTACAGAGTACTTATCAGCTACTTGTTCAGCAGTGCAGGAGAAGGGAATTCTGTCCCTATTCGGATAGGCAGGTGTGTGAGAAGAATGAGGTTTTAACGTAAGACATGAATAGGAGGTTAGGGAGAAATCACATTTGGTAAAGTGTCGGTCATGCAAGTGTGCAGACCTGAGTTCGGATCCCCAGCTCCCACATGAAGCTGGCTGCAAGCCTGTAGTTCCAGTGCTGGGGAGGCAGAGACAGGAGGACCTCTGGGGTTTGCTAGTCAGCAAGTCTAGCTGAATTGGAAAGCTGTAGGTTAGGGAAAAATCTCAAAACAAGGTGGCAGACAATTGAGGAAGACTGGCTGCTGGGTGCACGGAAAAAAAGAATCTAATGCCTCACTTGTCACAATTTAAAACTTGTTGGGCTGGGTGGTGGTGGCCTTTAATCCTAGCACTCGGAGCCAGAGACAGGCAGAGTTCAAGGTCAGCCTGGTCTACAGAGCAAGTTCCAGGACAGGCTCCAAAGCTACAGAGAAAACCCTGTCTCGAAAAACAAAAACAGACAAACAAACAAACAAAAAACCTCAACTTGTTGGTGTAGCTTTAAAGTCTAAAAGGAAAATATGATAATGCTAGTGTTTATTGTTTCTTTAATTCCACAAGGAATTGAAATAGATAAGAGAGAAAATTAAAGTTTTAAAAGATCTTCATCTTGAAAAATAAACAGAACTGAAGAGATGGTTCAGTGGTTAAGAGCACTGGCTGCTCTTCCAGAGGACCCAGGTTCATTCCCAGCAGCCACATGGTGGTTTACAGCTACGTGTAACTCCAGCCCCAGGGGATCTGAAGCCCTCCCTCTTCTAGCCTGTTTGGGAACCAGGCATGTATGTGATGCCCTGACACACATGCAGACAAAGTGGCCATACACACCACGTCAGTAAATTCATTTTTTAAAAGTTTAGAGGCTAAAATAAATAGGTGTGGTGCACCTTGTAATCCAGGGGCCGAGGCAGAAGGATCGCAAGTTCCTGGGGCTACACAGTTAGACCCTCTCAAAACAACAGAAGAAAGAGAGGATCCTGGCCCACAACTGCGTAAAATACTCCTGTTCTTCTGGAGACTATGCCGGTACTAGGAGACCCAAGGGTGGATATCCCAGGATCCTAGGATAGAACCAAACACGGCTGGCAAACAACCCCCCCCCCCAAAAAAAAAGAGGAAAAAAAAAGAAAGTCAATGACATGATTCCTAATGATGTTCTGCTATGCTCATAGATTGGTACCTAGCTCACTGTCATCAGAGAGGCTTCACCCAGCAACTGATGGAAACAGATGCAGACCCACAGCCAAGCATTAGGCAGAGCTCAGGGACTCCTGTGGAAGAGAGGAGGAAAGAATTGTAGGAGCCAGAGGAGCCAAGGACCACAAGAAAATCCATAGAATGAACTAACCTGGGCTCATAGGGGCTCACAGAAACTGAACTGTCAGCCAGGGAGCCTGCATGGGACTGACCTATGCTTCTGAATATATGTTACCGTTGTGTAGCTTGGTGTTATTGTGGGACTCCCAATAGTAGGAGCAGGAGCTGTCTCCAATGCTTTTGCCTGCTTTTGGGACCTGACTCCTCACACTGGGTTGCCTTGCACACCCTTAACACGAAGGGAGGTGCCTAGTCTCACTGCAACTTGTTTGGTGGATATCCACGGGGGAACCTGCCTTTTTCTGGAGAGAAACAGAGGAGTGGATGGGGGGAGGGGCTGGAAGGAGAGGAGGGGGGGGGGGGAAACTGCAGTCAGGATGTTAAAAAAAAATGAGAGAAAGGCCGGGCGATGGTGGCGCACGCCTTTAATCCCAGCACTCGGGAGGCAGAGGTAGGCAGATCTCTGTGAGTTCGAGACCAGCCTGGTCTACAGAGCTAGTTCCAGGACAGGCTCCAAAGCCACAGAGAAACCCTGTCTCGAAAAACCGAAAAAAAAAAAATGAGAGAAAGAAGAGGAGGAAGAAAGGAAGAAAGGAGGGAGGATGGAAGGAAGGAGAGAAAGAAGAGAGAAAGGGAGGGCCTGAGGAAGGAAGGGTTAGGGGAGAAAAGGGGCCTGTGTTAAGTTCATGACTTATAAGGAGGAAGCCTGCTGGGAGATCTCAATGGCTTCTCAGAGCCTTCTGAGGGTGACAGGCCCGTGGCTGTGGGCTCCTCAGAATCTTCCCATGACACTCTGGAAAATGCTGTTCCATGAAGCCCAGACACATCCTGACACAGTTGGATTCTCACACAGGGGTTCATCAGCAGGACAGGCTTTCCTGGTGGACTCTAGAGCAGGAGGCTGGAGCAAGGCTTTGAAGAATCCTAGTTCTTCCCCTGAGAGCTGTAGGACCCCTTCGTTTAAAGCTCAGGGTGAGCAGAATTTAGCTGTCAGTTTGAGCACAGAACCATGACTCTGTTGTATTTTACAGTAGAAAACCTCTTTAGGAAGAAAACAGTAAAAGTCAGTGGGCCCGCCTTAGGTAGAATTCTGCGTATACAGATGCGTGTGGAGTTCTGCAGATGTCCATCTGTAAAGACAAATTTGTTCTTTAACAAATCGATCCTTTGATCTTTAAAGGGCAGGTGAGAAAAACTCAGTACTTAGTTCCTGCTCGCCCAGAGATTGATGGGAGAGGTGTTGGCTACACAGTATGAAAGCACATGACACAATAGGGTGTGAGTAAGTGTGTGTGTGAATGTGTGTGTGAGTGTGTCTGAGTGTGAGCATCTGTGTGTGTGTGGAGTGTGTGTATGTGTGAGTGTGTGTGTGTATGAGTGTGTGTGTTTGTGGAGTGTGCATGTGTTTGTGTGTGTACGAGTGTGTGTATGTTTGTGTCTGTGTGTGCATGAGTGTGTGTGTGTGTGTGGAGTGTGTGTCTGAGTGTGAGTGTCTGTGTGTGTATGAGTGTGTGTATGTTTGTGTCTCTGTATGTGTATGAGTGTGTGTGTGGAGTGTGTATGTCTGAGTGTGAGTGTGTGTGTTTGTGGAGTGTGCATGTGTTTGTGAGTGTCTGTGTGTGTGTGTACGAGTGTGTGTATGTTTGTGTCTGTGTATGTGTATGAGTGTGTGTAAAGGCATGGTGATATTTAATGTAATACACATGACATTACACTGACCAGCATCTGTCTTACAAAGGCTGTTCTGTTGCTCAGATTTATTCACAAAAACCTGGAAAATGAACAAGAGCAGCCAGAGAAAGAAAATCTTCTTTAATAGAAAAACTGGACAGGCACCCGCTCTCATGATTCAGTCAGCTGCCCAATGCCCTCTTCAACTTGGCTATGATTTCCAGGGCTGGGTTGCATGTGGCTACTTATTTATTTCAGAGACAGGGCTTCAGGTTGCTGCTTGCTTATTTACTGCAGTGCTGGGAACGGAGCCCAGGCCTGCATGCTGCTTCCCAGCTACATTCCTAGAGTCCTTGACTTCTGGGTTCAGCTGAATTTTTCCTGAAGCTACTCGCCAAAATACAGGGCACACACTTCATTGCCAAACAGTGAGGCTCACTAACGCAAGGGCCAGTGAGATGGCTCAGCGGGTAATGAAGGCTGTTGAGTGAACCTGATGAACTGAGTCTGACCCCTGGGTCCAATGCCTTACATCTGCGCGCACACACACACACACACACACACACACACACCACTACCACCACTGCCAATAATAATGATAATAATAATAATAGATAAGATTTTGTAAAAGAAATACAGATTCATTTATATGGTCTACATAGCTGGAAATGCTATCTAGGGAGAAAATTCTTTTCAAAGTCATGCTTAGCCCTCTGTCAGTGCCTACCTATAACCCCAGCCCTGGGCTGGGTGGAGACAGCCAACCTAGCTGACAGGGCAAGCACAAACTCAGCAAGCTATCCTGTCTCAAAGATAAGGTTCAAAGCCACGGTGGAAGACACCTGACATCAACCGCTGGCCTACACACACAGACTACTGTGGAGTGAGGTGACCCAGACATATATGTATACACCACATATACATACACACATACATGCACACAGCACACCCATACACACACACACACACACACACACACACACACACACACACACGGCTAAAATGTAAAAAGTCACGGTTAACTTCTGTAGTCACTTGGGGCCCTGTTTTTTAGCCCGCCCTGACCCCAGCTGCTTTAAAGCATCCTGAATTGATTATGGTTGAGTTAGCACCTTTGCATAAAAACAGGCCTCTTCCTTTCTAGGTAAAACTGAGCACGCAAGGGGCACTGGCTTTCGACATGGGGAAAACGAGAGCAGCAAATTAGAATACCTTTAAAATTGGCTCCAGAAATGCTTTTGATAACTGCCATGACATAGCTCCTGAGAAAAACAAGCTGGTTTGTAAAAATGTGACTCTAAAAGCCAAAAGCAAGCGACCTAACCAGATTTTTAGACAGAAAGGCATCTGTAATTTCTTTAGTTTTACAGCTGCTCTTTCGGTTTTTAAGGAAGATTATCTGCACTTGCAGATAAAGAAATTCTGGGGGCTGGAGAGATAGCTCAGTGGTTAAGAGCACTGACTGCTCTTCCAGAGGTCCTGAGTTCAATTCCCAGCAATCACATGGTGGCTCACAGCTATCTGTAATGAGATCTGGTGCCCTCTTCTGGCTTTCAGGAGGCATCATGCAGAACACTGCATACATAATAAATATTGTGTTTAAAAAAAGAAATTGGCTCAGCTGGCAGAGGACTTGCCCGGCACTCGGTGTGGTGGTGCACACACACAATCCCAGCAACCCGAAAGTGGAGGCAAGAGAAGCAGCAGCTCCGGGCGGGTCAACACCCTTGATGATATATTGAGTTTGAAGTTAGCCTGGGATATGTGAGACACTGGGGAAGGTGGGGAAGGAGGGGGAAGACAGAAGGAGGGACAAGAGGAGAATAAGGAAAGAAGGAAAGACGTTTCTTGGAGGCATGCTAAGATGAAGCTGTCTGTCTGGGCATGCCCAGTGCGGCTCCATGTATAACTGGACTTGGTAATCCTGGAGCCGCTCACCAGCAATCGTGCAGGGTGTTAGCACATCCTGTGGACACCATGCTGCTACCCAGGCAGGTGGGATAGGTTTCTATGCAACAGTAACTGAAAACTGTGTTTATTTAGTGGAGAGAGGCAGATTGCAGAACAAAGCATATGGCATGAACCCATTTACATAACATCCCAAATGACAAAGCCTATGTGTCCATGGAGGATGTTTGTAAACAAGTAGAAAATGATCAGGACAGAAACACGGCAGCCACATGGGGGGGGGGGGGGAGGACTGGGGAAGAGAACACACAGGGACTCTCCTTATGCTAGGCTTCTTCGTGGTTTGTTTGAATCTTTACTAAGAAATGTGAATTAATTTTACAATTTAAAACATTCTAAGTCGGGCAGTGGTGGCACATGCCTTTAATCCCAGCACTCGGGAGGCAGAGGCAGACAGATCTCTGTGAGTCAGAGGCCAGCCTGGTCTACAAGAGCTAGTTCCAGGACAGTCTCCAAAGCCACAGAGAAACCCTGTCTTGAAAAAAAACAACAAAACAAAACAAACAAACAAAAAACAAAAAAACCAAACAACAACAACAACAAAAAACATTCTATAAAGGAATAAAATGGGCACCAAAAAGCTAGCAGCAGCAGGGAAATCGCTACAAGTTTGAGGCCAGCCTAGCTCAAATATCAAGTCCAAGGCCAACAGGGCTACACAGTGTATCAAGCTGACTGACTACGTTATTTAATAAACAACTGACAAAAACAACCACATGACTACCACCACCACCCTTCATTACCCAGAAAAATACTCACTTAAAGAGGGGCTGGGTGTTGGCGGTGTGGGTGAAGCTGGTGAAGTTGCTGGTGAAGATGGTGAAGTTGGAGGTGAAGTTGGTGATGAAGATGGTTGTGAAGATGGTGAAGTTGGAGGTGAAGTTGGTGATGAAGTTGGTGGTGAAGATGGTGAAGTTGGAGGTGAAGTTGGTGAAGTTGGTGGTGAAGATGGTGAAGTTGGAGGTGAAGTTGGTGAAGTGGGAGGTGAAGGTGAAGGGCATGGCCCAGACACTGCAGCTTGCACTGTGAGGTTAAGATTGAAGGTTCCGTTGAGCACATACGTGTGATTCAAACTGTGATTGTTGGAGACAAACAGGCCAGTGTTGTCCCCAAAGTTCCACTTGTAGGAAATGGCAGAGTCGTTGAGGAAGTGGCTGGGATCATGAATGAGGACATCGAACACAATGGGGAGGTCTCTGAGGAAGGTTCCCTCGGACGAGTTCCGGTTGTTCTTCTGGGACATGGTCACAAATACAGGGATCTGATCTAGAAGATGCACCAGGAGAAGGAAGAAAACACACTGTTTCTCAACTGTGAGGAGGGGGGCTACAATGATGTGTTCTGGCTGAAGAGTCATATGGGACCTTCTCATGTGTAAACTTTAGAGTGTTCCTGCTAAAAAGCAGGTGGGGTACCACATAATTCAACATTTCAGCTCTGCTTGGAGCCGAGTCTTACCCTAGCCCAGACACTAGGTGTCAAAAGGAGCCCATGCCTTGTGCCCCACTGACGTGAATTCACACCACGCACCTGTTATCACATACACGTCTTTCACCTGCGCGATGGGAATGTATGTCCGGCCGTGTCTTCGAAAGACAGTCACTTCCATGACCTGATGGCCAAGTGTCATATTGACTGTGTTTACAGAAACCCGTGCTGAACACCGACCCAGTTTTTGGAAATACTGACCTGTGGAAGACGGACATTTCCAATTATTGGTGACATGCTGTGATCATTTGACAAAGCTATTTCTGAAAGGTTAAAGCCTGCCTTGAGAGGGCTGGAGAGATGGCTCAGTGGTTAAGAGCATGGACTGCTCTTCCAGAGGACCCAGGTTCAGTTCTCAGCACCCATATAGCAGCTTACAACTGTCTGTAACTCAAGTTCTAGGGGACCTGACACCCTTGAGCCAATGCACATAAAGTTAAATAAATTATTATTATTAAAAAGGCTACCTTGAGGATAGAACAGTTAGGAAGCTCCAGAAAAGGAGATGGTGCCTGGCTCTGTGCAAAACCCGATGAAGCAACTCTACAGTTGCATGCAGGTAACTGCACACAGCTGGTTACAGTGAGAGAATTCTAGTGCGACAATATAGTTAGTTCCTAATTTATAGAAGAACACTTTATTAAGTTTCAATGAACATCATTTAATGTCAGGGTGAGGTATCTGGGAGAGTTTTAAAAGGTTCTTTACTCACAAATCTACCATATTTTTATTATCATTTTAAAAGCAATTGATGTAAGTAGATGGGCATGGTTGTTTAGATTTTTCTGGGATATTGGACCTCCACTTTCTAGAAGTACTTGTACCTAAAACAAGCAAGACATGAGCGAGCGACTGTGGATCACGGATACAAAGGGAGTGTCTTCCATTTCCCTCTGCAGCCACCCTTGAAACTCGTAGCTGCTGGCCACAGGGGTGCAGGTCAGTGAATGGCGAGCTTGGGGAGCTGACCAACAGGACTATGATGGCATCGGAGAAAGCCAGCTTCATTTGTTGTTCAAATGGCATGCTCTGCTAATGCTGAAGGAAAAGGATGCTCTCAGCCAAAGGTCAAAACCTTTGGAAATCTAGGAGTTGCTCAGTTTGGAGCAGATCCCAAATATCAGCCTTGGTTGGTTGTGTGTGTGTTGCTGACCCTGTAACTCAGGGATCTTTGTACATGCTGGGTATGCATTCTACCACCGATCCATAGACTTGGCACTCTAGTGATGGACTGAGAATTCAACAGCCTTGTTTCTCTTAAAGTAACAGTTCGCTAATAATGCAGCAAAGTGAATGAATGCCTTTTATGTTTTTGGAAACCAGAGAGTAGACTATGCCAGAGAAAAACAGTATCTAGATTGTTCTGGGCCCGCACAGTGGTGTATTGTGCAGCCATTAAAACAATGTAAGGACATTTAAATAATACAGTCAAATGCTATGATAGCAAAATAAAAATGTGTGTACATTATGACCTTAAATAAGAAATGTCAAGACTGAAAACATCATTTAATAGCAGTAATTTCGGATGCTATTCGTAGATGATTCTTTTGTATTTTGTTTGTGCTCGTCTATGCTTTCAACCGTCCCATGCTTCTAAAACTAAGTTCACTAATTCACTTAGAACATTAACAAATTAACGAATAAACAAGTGTGCAACCATGTACTGTTCAAATAGATATTTTCATATACTATAGAAGACTATTCTGCTGTGGTGTAGAGAGCCAAAGTCACTTCCTTCTCCTTCTCACTTCATTCTGTGGTGTCCTGCAGACTTGGCGAGGTTAGCCAGCCGAGGTTAGCCAGGACTTCATTTCCCCTCCCTGTCCTCTCCAGTAAGGAACCGACTGGGGATGGGGGCTACCCTCTCAGAAAATACAGAAAGACAATATTAAAGTGTAACAGGAGTGTAAAGAGCTAAGCGAGTTTGTAAAAGCCAAACCAAGTGTGTGAAAGACGTAGACGAAGCTCCACTTCTTCCATCCGTGGGGGCGAGGGAAGGGCTTCCCGTCGGGGAACGCCAGGTGCTGGCTCTGGCTGGTGCCGCCTTCCCAGTCACCACCCTCTGCGCCTGCTGTCCAGTTGTAGACGTATTGGTCAGGAGTGAACCCCAAATCTAATCGAGAGACAGACAGGGTCGAGTTAGTTTTCTAGCCTTTAAATGCCCAGTGCTCAACCCTCAAACACTTGCTTTCCCCAGAAGTCCTGTAGAAGCTGCTCTAATGTTCAGAAAGCACCCATGGCGTGCTGATGGCTCAGGCACTTTCCTGTGCATGTGCTGTATTCCAATAAAGTGTTATACCAATTATCAATACCAACTACCAATTACTATACTATAAACTTCCACTTGGAGATTTTACTTAAGACACGTGTCTTCCTGTTGAGTCTCCGAATCCCGGTGCTATTCACACCAGACTACAGGGAACATCATCTTCTAGTGCACACTTTCCCTCACTCATTTGTCACCACAGCTAAGTCCTGGGTCACAGTCGAAGGGGGGGGGGGGTTTCCCTTACGACACTGCAGAGCCACGCCTTCGCCCACCCCAGCACGCCATCGCGCATAGAACTCCCCTCCCACACAACAGCCTGGGAATATGTCACCCTTTGCTGGCCTTGGAGGACACTAGCACACACAAACACAGACACACAGCTACACAAAATTAAAAACATAAAAATAAATCCTTAAAAGAGAATCTCTGACTTTGCAGACACCAGGACTGCAAAATGGCATCGCTTATGCCTCTGAAAGAGAGGCTTTATGAAGGTTGAACCTGGAGAGCTGCCAAGATGGATACTGATGTGGAATTTCACCCCCCCCCCCCCCGGTGGCACTGCAGGCGTCTTCCAGAGATGTTACATGGCATCACAAGTTCATCAACGTGCAGAACAGCAGCATGGTGGGGTTTAACATGGCGCTGGAAGCCTATGTGGTTTTCAGCTACTGCCTTTTTGTTGTTGTTGTGGTGGTGGTGGTGGTGGTGGGGTGATTTCTTTGGGAAAGAGTTTCTCTGTGTAGCTCTGGCTGTCTTGGCTGTAGACCAGGCTGGCCTCGAACTCACAGAGGTCCGCCTGCCTCTGCCTCCCGAGTGCTGGGATTAAAGGTGTGCACCACACCCAGCAGCTACTGCAGTTCTTACAAGGAAGTTAAACATGAGCGAGCAGGGCACCAGTGTCACTGAAGAGGGGGCAGTATGGCAGGCACCGCATGCCTGAGCAGAGCCTTTCCAAACGTGTGATATTACGTTCTGAGCAAGACCTGGTCACTGTCTGCCATCTAGGACATCCCTGAGTCTGTGTCCTCAAAGAGCTCCTTTAACCAGCTACTATTCCTTCTTATTCTTAAACGGTTCCCGTCCGGCCAGAGAAACCCCTTGAGCTGGCTCCTGGGTCCTTTGGCATAGCGCCACTGGTCTTTGTGTTCTTCCTGTTACAGTTACGATGCCTCCAGTCAGGCGTGACAGCGCACAGCTTTAAGATTAGCATTTAGGAGGCAGAGGCAGGCAGATCTTTGCGTTCAAGGCCAGCCTGGTCTACAAAGCAAGTTCCAGCACAACCGGGGCTACACGGAGAAAATCCAATCCCTGCTATGTAGTCCAGGCTGGCCTCAAACTCGAGATTCCCCTGTGTCAGCCTCCCAAGTGTGGGAATTACTAGCATGTGTTACCACCCTGGGCAGAATCAGCTTTTTCTTTTTTTAAAAATAGGAAGTAGGGTATAGTAACACATACCCGCAATTGCAACACTCTGGAGACTGAGGCAGGAGGATCATGAGTTTAAGGCTCGTTTGGGCTATATAGGAATATGAGAGAGAGAGAGAGAGAGAGAGAGAGAGAGAGAGAGAGAGGAGGGGGGAGTGGGAGAGAGAAAATATTAAATACTTACCACTAGATAAATAATTATACCCTGTGTATGAAGAATTTAGTGTTTGCCTCAAAGGGAGATAAAAAAATTAATAATGGATGAACACATCAACAGATTCATAAAAGCCCCAGATGGCACAGGCAGGGGCATCTTCACCATTGGAGTAATCTCAGTGGTTATCTGAGTTCTCCAGAGTGAACCGACCTCGCGAGATAATGTTCCTTGGTGTAGCTGTGCTCTTTTAACTTGAACAGTAAACTTATCTCTTTAAGAGCAAAACAGAATCAGAGCATGCCCGTTAGCATCTGCACAGCAGATCATTTGTTTCAGAACATTAATCAACAGAAATAACCCCTTCAAGTGGAGCCCTGGATGGTATTTCTTTTGTTTAAAATCAGGCAATAAAATGAGACTCTGAGCACAGACAGTGCGTTCTCTGCTCAGTGGACGTGAAGGACAACCTGGGGGTCTCAAAGGAGGAAATAGACGTTTGGAGTTTTGAATGCGTGTGTAGCCCTGGGGCTGGAACCCAGGGCCCTGATCATTCCAGGCAAGTGCTAATTCACTGAGTTCCTCCCAACTCAATGGTAGAGCTTAAAGGGGGGTATTGGGAAGAGCTGGAACCAGAGAGGGGCAGAGGGACAGGATAGGGGAACTGGAGGGGGACATGATCAAAGTCCATGACGTATATAGGAAAAATATCTTGTACAAGAAAGTGACACACCCCCACTCCACCACCCCCACCGCCCCACTGCACAGGTACCAAGGAGCAGGGCGCCATCAGTCTGCTAAGGAGGCTTGGCTAATACTGGCGTTATAAAAGAACCGGACAGTTCCACACATCCCTGCCATCTAGCTTGAAAGGAGGGTGGCAAGGGGTGGTGAGAGCACCTATGAGCACTAGGATTATGGGTGGGGCTCGAGGAGAGCTGGCCTTCTTACCATTTCTGCAGTTCTTCTCATAAACGATGTTGCCATTGGCATCTTCCTTCTGGCATCTGGGGAACACCAGGTTCACCACAAACGTGACATTGGATCCCACCAGAGCTGGGGAGTCACTGGTTAGGACTGCTTGCACACGGCCTCCTAGGGTAACAAAGAAGGAAGCTCGTTCTCCCAGACGGCCTTTCACCAAATGTGTAAGTAAATATCTGTGGATAAGGACCATGCGATCCATATGCCTCTTTACGGTGTGTTCAATTTATCTCCTGGACAGCAACTTTAGCTTTCACAATATTATAGAAAAATAAGTCAGAATAGTTCATGGATTTTATAATCATGGGAAACAATCACTGAAGATAGAAGGGGCTGGAGACAGGACTCTGTGCTAAGAGCATTGGCTGCTTTTCAGGGGACCCTGGTTCAACCCCGGCACCCACACCGCAGCTCGCAAGCTCCTGTAGCTCCAGTTCCAAGGGATCCGATGCCCTTTAATGGCTTCCTTGTGCACCAGGCACACATGTGGTGCACAGACACACACACACAGACAGAACAATATTCACATGCATAGCAAAAAAAAAAAAGTCTGGTTTTTGGATTGAGGAGGCACATGTTGAAAGTTTGTAGACTTTAACCTTGAAACCAAACGACTGGAGACTCAGCCTGTGGCCTCTATGAAAGGATACACTTTCCCGGAAGTCACACTTCCGGATGATCAGGTCATGTCTCTGCTTTTCTGAGGTTGCCTAAGCCATGGTAGCCACCAGTTTTGAAGCCAAATCTGCTTGCTCTCTAAAATATCCCAATAACCACAACCTTAGAAATGTCTGAAAGTCCAGGTGATTTGTGACTTAGAAAATGAAAATGGGGGTTGGAGAGATGGCTCCGAGGTTAAGAGCACTAGCTGTGCTTCCAGAGGTCGTGAGTTCAATTCCCAGCAACCACATGGTGACTCACGACCATGTAATGAGATATGATTCCCTCTTCTGGCCTGCAGGCATACAAGGAGGCAGAACACTGTATACATAATAAAAAGAAAATAAAAATGGGCGGCTGGGCCGTGGTGGCACACACCTTTAATCCCAGCACTTGGGAGGCAGAGACAGACAGATCTCTGTGAGTTTGAGGTCAGCCTGGTCTACAAGTGAGTTCCAGGAGAGCTAGGACTGTTACACAGAGAAACCCTGTCTCAGGAAGAAAAAAAAAAAATCGAAAACATTGGGAGAAAGGGAAGTTTGCCAAATCCAGGGGCTGCTCATCTGCAGCTAGAGCGCTGTCGTTCAGGGCAGCCTGAGGCCCAGAGTCCAAGGCCTTGGCTGAGGAGCTCAGCCGTGGCTGTGGGGTGGAATTTCCGGCTTACCTTCCCAGGAGTTCTTCCATCTGCCATCTCCCCTCTTCCACACCGGGTACAGGTTTTCATTCCACTCCGCTTCATCAGAAGACCAGCCACGTAATTGATTTTGCTCCCTCACGTGACCTGGAGACTGCTCGTGGCCCAGCACGTCACGGAATCCTAGGTTTGGGAAACAAAAGATCTTGTCTCTTCCATTTCTCATTTAGCGCTTCAGTGAGAAGGGCCGATGAGGCTTCTCAGCTTAGGTCATTGGGAAGCGCATGTATGATATAGCCAATAAATCAAGTAAACGAAGGTGCTTTAGAAACGGCTGCCTGGGCACAGCGGCTCACACTAATCCAGCCCGCAGGATGCAGTGAAGCTCTGCTGTGAAGCAGAGGCTAGCCTGGTGTACATCGTGATTTCTAGGCCAGCCAGAACTGCATAATGAAACTCTGAGTCCAAAACCAGCTGGGTGAGGCTGGTGCACTGTCCCAGCAGATGAGGTCACTGGCCACCAAGACTGACAACCTGTGTTCTCTTCCCTAGAACTCACGTGATAGAAGCAGCGAGTCAGAGATTTGACCATGACCTCTGCATGCCCCACCCCAACACAAACAAACAAATAAATGTAAAAATAAAGTCAATCGAGGGGACTGTTTGCAGAGGACTAAAGAAAGACGGGTTATTTGGTTTTTGAGATTGCATCTCAACATCAGGATAGACCCTGGCTGTCCTGGAAATCACTATGTAGACCAATCTGGCTTCAAACTCACGTAGATCCACTGCCTCTGCTTCCTGAGTGGCTGGGATCAAAGGGCCTGACCACAAAGCCCAGCCTTTAAGAAAAATTTTAAAAAATATTTATTTATTTATTATGTATACAATATTCTGTCTGTATCCTGCAGGCCAGAAGAGGGCACGAGACCTCATTACAGATGGTTGTGAGCCACCATGTGGTTGCTGGGAATTGAACTCAGGACCTTTGGAAGAGCAGTCAGTACTCTTAACCTCTGAGCCATCTCTCCAGCCCCTAAGAAAAATTTTTGACAGCCAATTTTTCTTAACTGTACTTATTAGCTTCTCAATATATAGCCTCCAAATACTTAGACGTGGTAATAGTATCTAAAGGGAAACTTGAATGCTGTTTTCTTCATACAGATTTGCATCTTTCCCCAGTCTTTTTCCTGTCTTGTCTAAATCCCAGAATGGCAAGCTTGGGAATGCTCCCAGAATGCCAAGAGATACATATGCAAGTACAGGAAGGCTCATGGTAGAACTCTAAGTATACATCTCGGTGAAAATTCCATATACATTGTAGAGTAATGCAATTGCATCATATCTATGCCCAGGAGGCTGAGACAGGAGGATTGCCATGAACTCAAGGCTAGCCTGGGCTACAAAAAGAGGCTTTGTCTCAAAAACAAACATCTCCCACTCAAATAAAGCATAAGCCAGTGTATAGTCTACATTTGCTAAGAAGTGATTTTTTTTAAAAAAAAATGTTATTTGGGTTAGAGTTGTACCTTATTTCCTTTTTCCAGTTGCATCTCTTTTTAAATGCATTTTGAAGCTCTGTTGTTACGTATATATGCATTTAGAATGATTGCTTTTTAGATTGAATTGGATATTTTCTTATTAGTGTTACCCTTCCTATCATTGGCAACATTCCTTGCTCTGAAGACTGCTTTGCAGGGTTTACCTTTTCCCACTGTTTTTCTTTTTCAATAAAAGACTTATTTATTTTATTTGACGTGTGTAGGTGTTTTGCCTGCATATATGTTTGTGTACCATGTTCATGGAGTGCCCACCGGATTCCAGAAGAGGTCACTGGAGCCCCTGGGAGTGGAGCTACAGCTGTGAGCTGCCATTTGGTTACAGGGGAATTGAAACCTGGGTCTTCTGGAAGAGCAGCCAGTGCTTTTAACCTTGGAGCTGTCTCTCCAGCCTCCATTATTTTACTCCTAACTTGCATGTGTTCTTATTTAATGTGGGTTTCTTGTAGATGGTATATATTTAATTGTGTTTCTATAAATCAAATCTGAAAATCTCTTTTGTCCGAAGTCTGAGATAATTTACATATAATGTAATAACAGATTGTGGATTTGAAGCTACCATCTTGTTTTTTATATATCCATCTTTCTTTTTTCTTATTTATTTATTTTGATTTTTTTTTAAAAAACAAAGGGTTCAGTTTGCACTCAAACTTATTATATAGCCTAGGATAACCTTGAACTCTTGACCTTTGTGCCTTTATCTCTCAAGGGCTGAGATCATAGGCATGCATCAAATCTACCTTCTTTTGTAGTTTGGGATATTACAACTGGATTCCATTTTGTCTCCACCACTTCGTAGTAATTATATCTCTTTGTTTTGTTTGCCTGCCTACTCCCTTCTTTTAATCCCCTTGGTAAAATAGATCCTTGTCTGTAGCAGATCACAACCCCAAAGGCTCTTTTTCCCAGCTTTCCTTGCAGTTGAGTAGGGGAAGACGATTATATTCTGGTTTAGAAAAGCTGAGAGGAAATCTCCTGAGTTCCTGGGAAGTGTTCCTCCCTTACAAAGGAAGACGAAGGAGAAATGGCCTCAGTCTTTTCTCTTCTGAACTGAGTTCAGAGATGAGGTAACTGGCCTGATGTTTGGCCATCACAATCATCCTTCACCATGGAGATGCAGCTGTGGGGACACAGCCCGCATGTCGGTGGTGTCGGACTAGAATGCTGACAGAAATAACAACCACCTAGGTGACACTATTGAGTCATTGCTCCTGCGCTGCCTGTGGTGGTCTCAGTGGGAGAGGCTCTGTTAGGAAGTGTGTCACCAGAGGGTCAGGGGGTGGGGGGTGGGTCTCTTTGAGGTTTCAGAAGCTTAAGCCAGGCCCGGTGTCTTTCTCTGTTCCTGACCCCCGTGGATTCAGATGCAGATCTCTCATCTCAGCTCCTTCTCCAGAACCATTCTGACTGCATGCTGCCATGCTTCCCCATGCTGATAATGGAATGAATCCATTATTAACTGTAAGCCAGCCCCAGTTAAATGCTTTCCTTTACAAGAGTTGCCGTGGTCGTGGTGTCTCATCACAGCAGTAGAAGCCCTAACTAAGACACTATCTCTGGGCTGAATGTAGGAGATAAGAAGAATCTTAGGCTTTTCTATTCTAGCCCAAAGCTTAACTGCCAGGACCTAAGCAGCCTCTAACCACACAGTGTCTGCAACTGTTCTCTCATCAGTTTCTATGGTCCTGCATCTTGACCATGTTTGTAGACCAAAATCTGTCTTTATGTCTTCGATGCTGGAAGAGATACCATGAAGTGTGGTAGTTAGTGACTCTGCGGAGAAGCCATTTTGAATGCATGTACTAATCTGTTTCTTCTAGTCAAGGTTTTACCTCTTACATGGAGAGCAGTGGCGGCACAGGATACTTAGAACTCGGGCCCCGTGCATTTTAGGTAAATGCTCGCATGTTAGGGAAGCTGGGCTACATCCCCTGCCCAGTTTATTTTTAGTGTGTGTGTGTGTGTGTGTGTGTGTGTGTGTGTGTGCACGTGCACGCACCATACTCTGAAACGCTGTATACCTCCTTTTGAGACACAGTCTCTCATTGGTCTAGAGCTCACCAATTAGGACAGACTGGCTGGCCATCCAGTCCCATGGAGCCACCTGTCTCTACCTTCTTTACACTAAGAGACGGGTGTATGTACTGTTTTTGTGCATGCCCCCCCCCCCGCCTTTTGGTAGGTGCTGTATATGGAATTCAAGCTTGTGCCTATGAGGCATGCAATGTACCCACTGAGCCATCCCTTAACCTCCCAATTCCTTTCTCAACAGAAAGGCAGGCACAGCGGTAAACAGCAGTGAGGTAGGAGTCATGATGCATGATCTCTGTCGTAAACGGCTGTGTGGCCTCAGTCTTCAAACCAGCAACCCCGAGTCAGTCTCAGGACTGTTTGCACCGGGAGAAGACATTGGCATCAACCCATGTTTATAACTGGAGGTTCACTCTGGAGTCGTGCGGAAAGAGTTAAGCTGATGCCATTCCAACCCACTTTAGAGATGCCGACACCTAGGTTAGAGATAGGGTTCCCCAGGGCCCTCGTCAATCTAGTGCAAAAGGAGCTTCACCTCCTTCCATGCCCACAAGCTCTTCTCGCTGTTTCAGAATCTTTGCCTCAGATTCTGAGGAAGAGTATTTTCAGAGATGAAACCAAAGCACAGATCAGGTTGGAGTGTGGGACAGTGGGTCAGTGCCCCTGGCTTTGAACTCCAGCACCAACAGAAAAACAAAACAAAACAAAACAAAACCAAAACCAAAAAAAACCAACCCTGACAAAACCACACAGATTGCTCCTCTGCTTGTAAATTTCAGAAGTCAAAGAAAAATACAGCCAGGCAGTGGTGGCCACGCCTTTAATCCCAGCACTTCAGAGGATCCATGCACGTTCCAGGTCAGCCTAGTCTGCAGAGTGAGTTCCAGGACTGTAGGGCTGCACAAAGAAACCCTGTCTTGAAAAAAGGAAAAAAGGAAAAAAAGAAAAAAGAAAAGGAAAAAAGAAAGAAAAAAGAAAAGAAAATTACAGGGAGCAGCGGAGGAGCCGGGAAGCCAGGAGCAAACCTGTTCGATCTGCCCTTCAGGACCAGGGGAGCCGGAGGAGGACCCAGCGGTTAAGGTCGCCAGCTCCGCTTGCTCAGGACAGGAGCGGGGATCTTAGCTTAAGTTAGGAAACTCGCAAACATTCCAGTGCCAGGAGATCTGGCGCCCTCTTCTGGCCTCTGCGGGCATCAGCCCCCCCCCCATAAAATACATTTTTTTTTTAAAGGTTTCAAAAAGAAAAATAACACGATAGAGAAAAGACGCATTTTAAAAAGCAGCAAATATAGATGGAAACATCAGGACTTAGGGCTAGAAAAAAATTATTAGGTTAACCAAAAGCATAATCCATAAAAAAACTGATGGATGGAGCCCTTATTCAACTAAGAAACCTCTGCTCTTTGATATCCTGTGGGGAGAAGCACAGGAGAGCCACAGAGTAGGAGCGTACCGTGAGAGAGCAATCCCGTCTGAAAACGGAAAAAGACATGAGCGCACGCTACAGAGGATGTGTAGGCATCAGACACTAGAGGGTCACTGATGAACCCTCCAACAGACCTGTCAGTCACTACCACCAAACCAAAAGTAGTGCCGGTGCCCGCCAAATGATGGCAATGACCTAGAAAAATTGCATCACCACAGATTGTTGGCAGGAACTTGAAAAGGTGAAGCCATCCTTCTAAATTCTAATAAAACTCAAAGTGCAATTAACCACGGAATAACTCCCCCCCCCCCCCTTCTTTTTCTTGAGATAAGGTCTCTCTAGCTGTTCTGGAACTCACTTTGTAGACCAGGCTGGCCTCAAACTCACAGAGATCCGACTGCCTCTGCCTGCCGAGTGCTGGGATTAAACATGTGTGCCACCACCACCTGACATGACTTGTTTTAGTTGTACTCTTTGGTATGAATCCCAGAGAAACAAAACTTGTAACCACATAAAAATTTACACATGGGAATCCATAGTCTCTTTATTCGGAAAAGCCCACCTTGGAATAACTCTGATGTCATTCAGTGGTTGAGGGGTTAAAGGGGTGTGTCCTGATTAATTCGGCAATGCCAACAATCCCCAGAAAACTACACAAAGAGAACTCTCCGGCCAATGTCTACAGTTACATGCCGTGTAAAATTTCATTGTGCGGCATTCTGAAAACAATAATAATAAAAATAAATTATTTCAAATGGACAGATTCCTAGTGGCCAGGGTCTGGAGTTGGGTAGAGAAGGGTATTTGGTGATAAAAGGTACTGGGATTGTTACGGTGACAATGCGCATGTTCTGTATTTTGACTGTCCCTCCTCCAGGATCTTGCTGTAATTCTTGATTGTGTTTTGCCTAACTTTGCCCTTGGACAAATTGGGTAAAGGTTATTTGTCTGAATCATTTCTTTCAATTTCGCATGAGTGCACAATTGCCCTAAAACATAGAAGTTTAATTTAAAACCAATAGCCCAATAGCGAGCAAACTTTAAGAGGGCGGAGGCGGGCAGGGGTAGAGCGGAAGTAAACCTGCCGCTGCAGCAGGTAGAAGGGCTCCCCTCTTCATTAGGACTCCCTAGACTTGCTCCGCCAGCGCTTCTCCTGCCTCCTCCTCATTCTAGGGCTTTGAGACTTGGTCTGAGAGCCCCATTATTCGATTTCTGGCTACTGTTTGGTTGGTTGGGCTTTTGTCGGGGCACGTCTCTATGTAGCTCGGGCGGTCCCTAAACTCATTATATACACTAGGCTGTCTCACGGAGATTCACCTGCATCTCCGAGTGGGGGGATTAAAGGCGTGGGCCACTTAGTCCAGCTTCGGCTGCTATTTTAATGAGCAGAGCCGTGGAGTTTTGGGGAGAGGACTTAGCTCCCTTTTGTGATAGGCTCCCAATTGTCTGTCCGCGGAAGGTACGGGGGGGGGGGGGGGGTTCGAGGGCGAGCAGACCGGTCCTTAAGAATTACCACTGAATAATCACCACTGGCCGAGCACCTCTGCTAGCTGATCTCCCAAGAAACACACATTTGCAAATGAGGAAAAGGAAACTTTTCGAAGCTAACTCGTAACCCAGACAAGCAGCTGACACGAACTCAACTCTATTCTACCCCAAACCCTGGAGGAAGACCAGCGGTGAGAAGACAGACATCCCCTTCCATCTGCTCTGTGTGCGACCCGGGGCGAATTCCTGGCGCTCTCAGTGGCGGGGTTCCTTATGTGGGCAAACCGGACAATCACAAAGTCAGGTTCCCCTCGCTCTGTGAAGGCGCCACACCTAGACGCAAGGTGGGACATTCCACCTGGCACCCCGCTGGCTGCTGTGTCTGTGTTTGAAGTTCAAACCCACAATCCCGCAATCAGCCTCAGGGGACAGAGATGGAGTCTCGGGCGGGGCGCCACAAGTCTAGGGCATCCCAGCTTTTGAGAACACTGAGGTGTTTAGTGGGACTGGGACGCTTGTCAGCTTGCCTGGCCAATCCCCGAGAGCAGGGTCCCCAGCGATTTCATTCTGCTTGGCCAGGGATCCACCCCAGCCAGGACGAATTAAGAGAGGGCCTGGCTTGCTTTAGAGGACGCAGGGAAATGAGGTGACCGCTTCTCTGGGACTGCCCCAGGCCAAGGTGGAGTTGGGGTTATCTGAGCTAGCTGGGGCAGCAGTCGGGCTCAGAGAAGATGCGGGTCCCGACTGGTCCCCGGCCCCTGGAAAATGAGGTAGAGTGGCTCTCCCCCCCCCCCCCCCCCCCCCCCCCCCCGCCACACAGTAACTCTGTTAGGAACGGGACAGCCACACCCGGAAGGGGACAAGTGGGAGTGCTGGCGCGCTACTCTATCCCCGTTGAGCACCAAGGATGCTAGACCAGGACGCCCAGTTCCGGAAGACGCCAGACGCCGCTGTCCCTGACTGGCCATCGGCATTGTTAGTAGGACCCGTGCCGTAAAGCCCACCCCGGGTGGAGCCAGCTTGTCCCTCAGTACCCTCGCTGGAGCCGCCGCACCCAGAAGTGTGCAGGGGATGGTGTGGGGAGTTCTACTAAATGGGCGAGAACCTCATCTAAAAGCTCCGCCTTGTGAGCATGAAGCAGTTGAAGGTGGTTTGGGAGACTTGCTTTATTCTTGGGGTACAGGCTGTCCCCCGCTTCCAGCTACAATACGGCCAGGGTGGAAAAGGCTTAGAGTAGCCGCGTGGCTTTTGCTCTCCATGAACCCCGAGCAAAGAACACAGTCCCAACATTCGGAATAGACCCCGCTTCCTGCGGATCCCCAAACTTCTCTCGAGGGCCCTAGCGCACCCCTTGGACCAGCGAATGCAAACGCCCAGAGAGGACCGGACTCACGCTTGGCCTCCTGGAGCGGCAGTCCTGAAGCCAGCAGCAGAAATCCCAGGACCCCGAGGAGATTTTCCATACTGAGTCCGAGCGCCCGCAATCGATCAGGGCTTAACTCGCACTGCCAAGTCCCATCCACCAGTAGTCACGGCGTCAGCTTCCTGAGCCCCGCTCTGATTTATGAAATACGGGGCCCGAGGAAGATCATGTGATGTTTTAAGCAGTGTAGCTGGATCTCTCGAATTCCACCTCTTAAGAACTCGTGTTCATGACTCACTTGCCCTTGGCATCTATTTATTGACTTCGGATGTGCGGTCTTTTCATTGTGTGATCCCACATTCGTTTCTCTCTTTTCTTCCCTCCCTCCCTTTTTTCCTAGTTTAAAGGGAGCTTCCTAAAATCCCATTCCGACATTCTTGTTGTTGGTGAACGTTCATCGCAGCTGCTCAGGCGACACCTCTTCCAGAATTTGGACAGCGGCACCTAACTAGCATTCCCTCCCCCAAATAAAGGGAAGCAACGACCAAGTTTTCACCTTTTGGCAAACATCTTATCACCACCTGAAGTGTGGTGCCCTTTGTGGCTGGCATAGTTCTGTCTTGCCTTTTTGGTGAGATGAGCAATTCGTCTTTAAATGAATTGGACATATTAAACTTTTCTGTAACAAATCTTAGTTTTGTTTAGGAAGCTGCAACAATCTAATTATCTTTTATTTTTTGCCTTCCCTGATCTATCAAGAGAGGTGGCAGCCACTGGGGCAGGAGTTAAAGGTTAGCTCCTGGAGATTAATTCTTCTTCTTCTTCTTCTTCTTCTTCTTCTTCTTCTTCTTCTCCTCCTCCTCCTCCTCCTCCTCCTCCTCCTCTTCCTCCTCCTCCTCCTCCTCCTCCTCCTCCTCCTCCTCCTCCTCCTCCTCTCTCCTCCTCTCCTGTCTCTTCTTTCTTCCTTCTCCTCCTCCAGAGGGTCTGGGTTCAGTTCCCAGCACCAACATCGTGGCTCACAACCACTTATAATTCCAGTTCAAGGGGTCTTACAGCGTCTTCTGAGGTCCCCAGGCAGGTACCTGCCATGTTTGTGGTACACAGACATTCATGAAAATAAGTCACTCATACATGTACCAATTTTAAAGGAGGTTTGTGATTCCAAAGAGCTGTAAATAGGATAAGCCGTTTTAGGAAACCAGACAAAGGCAGCATGATGAACCCAAGGTCAGGGCTGTTGGGGAAAACGGATATTCACACCTTGTTTTATTAAGAGAAAATCATGATGTAAAGAGTTAGGAATAATTTACTGAAAGAAAGGAAACGTCTGGACTCTTTGGTGTTACAATTACTCTGTTGAGGAAGGTGAGCTGTAGCCATCTTTAGAGAAGCAGCCCCAAGAGCCTCTCAGCACCTTGGATGCTAGCCCTCCTTCAGGTGGCCGCTGTCTTGACTTTCACCATGCCTAGGATGTGATGACTGAAGCAGTCACCAAAGGGACACACAAGGTGGTGGCAGGCTGCATCCGAGCCTAGGGGTCACAGCTGAACCTCAGAGAGCCCTGTCTGGCCTCTAACTCGCTGTGCAGTTGAAGCTGATCCTGAATTCTGATCTTCTTGCTTCCACCCCCTAGATGCAGGGATAACAGGTGTGTGCTACCACACCTGTGTGGTTCTGGGGAGCTAATCCAGGGTGCTATTGCTCTAGGCAAGCACCCTACCAACTCAACTTCATCCCCAGTGCTCCTTCAATTAACATTCTTTACTTTTAGAAATTGCTCAGTTCAAAGCCGGGCCGTGGTGGTGCACGCCTTTAATCCCAGCACTCGGGAGGCAGAGGCAGGCGGATCTCTGTGAGTTCGAGACCAGCCTGGTCTACAAGATCTAGTTTCAGGACAGGCTCCAAAACCACAGAGAAACCCTGTCTCGAAAAACCAAAAAAAAAAAGAAATTGCTCAGTTCAAACTGGAATTTTTAAATGAGATCACAAAATCTACTTAAGATCTACTCCATAACCTTTATTTTTTCTTTTCTTTTTATGTGTATGGGTGTTTTGACTACTTATATGTTTTTTACACCACAGGTGTGCCTGGTGCCTGTGGAGGCCAGAAGAGGCTGTCAGATTCCCTGGAACTGGAGTTATAAATGCTCGCGAACCATCTTGTGGTTACCATGGTGGTACCAAGAGTACCATGTGGCAAGTGCTCTTAACTCCTGAGTCATCTCTTTTTTTTTTTTTTTTTTTCAAGACAGGGTTTCTCTGTGGTTTTGGAGCCTGTCCTGGAACTAGCTCTTGTAGACCAGGCTGGTCTCGAACTCACAGAGATCCGCCTACCTCTGCCTCCCAAGTGCTGGGATTAAAGGCGTGCACCACCAGCGCCCGGCCTGAGCCATCTCTTTAGCCCACAGACCCCTAACTCATAAATAGCTGCTCGATAGTTCCCTTTAACAAATTGTCAAAACTCAGAGGCTTAAAACAACTAAAATTTATTAACTTGCTGGCCTGGAAGTCAGAAGTCTGAAATGGGTCTCAACTAGGCCCAAACTAAAGTGGCTTCAGTGAAGAATCCACTTCTTTGCTTCTCTAGTCTCTGGCTTCTCACACTTCCTGGTTTGTGGCCTCCTCCCTCTCAACATCCACCAATGGTAGTGGAATCTTGCTCACATTTCGGTCTGGCACAGGTTCTTCTGATCCTCTGTTTGATTTGCAGGTTCCTCATTGTTTCATGGGACGCAGCAGGACGTTCCAGAACCTTTTCTGGTCTCAAGGCCAGTGGTCAGCCACTTTTGATGTAACCTTCATTTTGGTATTTGCCTTGTCACAAATTCATAGGTTTTGTGGGTTAGGATTAGATACCTCTGGGCCATTATCCTTCCTCACAGTTATCCAGAAGGTGGCTGGCAAAAAAATAAAATAAAAATAAATAAATAAATAAATACCCTAAGACAGGTGATGAGAATGGTGTCGGATAATAGCCCGTGAATTTCACATACCTCTTGAAACTTGTGCCAGGGTAGGAAGCTAAGAGTAAACTCAAAGGGACCAGCTCCAAGAGAGAGGCAGCCCATGTGACTGCCAGGCCGTCATGCAGGCATTTGCACGTGTCGTGAGCAGAGTCACGATTTTCAGATTTAAGCGTTAGCCGATGACTAAGAGACCTCTGCTGTGTCCAGTTCTTGGCTTTCTCCTGCCCAATGGCTCTCTGCATGAACGAGTAATTTAAGCCCTTGGTTCTAAGGCTCATCGAGCTCTGAGCCTACTCTTTCTCCAAAATGTTTTTTTTTTTCCCGTAGCTTTAGAAAAGAAGAGAAAAAACCACATGGGTTAAAACGTTCCTTCAAGAGGTTCCCTCCATTGTCAACTTGTCTTCTATTATTATTTTTTGTTTTGTTTTGTTTTTTGAGAGAGGGTTTCTCTCTCTGTTGCTTTGGAGCCTGTCCTGGAACTAGCTCTTGTAGATCAGGCTGGCCTTGAACTCACAGAGATCCGCCTGCCTCTGCCTCCCTGAGGGCTGGGATTAAAGGCGTGCACCACCATCACCCAGCTCTGACTTGTCTTCTCTTGGGAGCAGTTAACCCCCAGATCCTGAATTTCTTGTAAAAAAAACTTGTTTCCCTCTGCTCTAAGACAGCCTGCAGCTGCTCAGGAGTTCCTGATGGCAGGGGAGTGGTTTCTGGTGGGTTTGGCTGGGGCGTGGCTATCAGTTAAGGATCCCTATAGAAGCGGCTCTGGTACACAATAAAGGGGGCGTTCTTTGGGCGTTCCTGTTTCAAGGATGACCCGTGTCTCTGTGTGTCTTTGTGTGTTTAAATCTCCAGGCCCTTGCTCAGCTCGTGAATGGTCCTGTAGTGCAGATGCCGCAATACAGGAGTAGTACGGTACTGTCACGTAATACAGGCGGTGGATTTTCACAGTCTTCTATTATTACATTTTATTTATGTAGAGCGCATGTATGTGCATGCATGCCTGTGTGCCACCGTGCATGTGTGGAAATTGATTCTTCTACCTTGTGAGTCCCAGGGACTGACTCAGGTTGTCAGGTTTGGTGGCAGCACCCTTACCTGCTGGGCAATCTGGAACCTGTGTCTTTTGTTGAGACCAATATTTCTCTCCCTCTCTCCTTCCCTCCCTTGACAGGGTCTTTCTATGTAGTTTAGGCTGGCCTGAAACTCCCATCCCTTTGCTTTAGCCTGCCAGCTGCTGAGATCACAGGCAACTACAACTGCCTGCTGGACTATTTTAAAGGCAGTCCTAACTATCGCCGGTGTGCAGATTTAAAGTCATGTAAGAACAATAGGAGTTTGAGAGGCTGGAAGAAAGATGGGTTTCTAGAGAAAGTGTGAGCTGCTTCTGACATTGTAAGTTGAGCTAACTAAAGTGTAAACACACGTGGAAAGAGAGCCGCCAGGTTGAGGGGCCACAGGAACAGAAGAGAGACTTTATTCTTCTGAGTCCGGGTCTCACACAGCCACGGCTGGCCTGGAACCTGGTCTGTAGCTGAGGATGACCTCGAACCTCTGATCCCCCGTCTCTATTTTCCAAATACAGGAACTCCAAGTTTGTGCTGCCACATCCAGGTTTCTTTGAAGCTGGGGATTGGACTTAGGGTATACTAGGTGTGCTTTCTGCCGGCTGAGCTGCAATCCCAGCCCTAAGAAAAATAATTTGAAAAATAAAATATTAAAACACGCTCTAGGGTGATAAACCTCAAAAACATTGTGCCAGGAGAGGGAAAGCATACATAAAGGTCACAGAATTCCATTTATATCAATACTCCAAATAGACAAATCCATGGGAACAGAAGGAGGGTTGGTGATTGCCAGCAACTGTGGGGAAGAGGGAATGGAGCGACCAAGGGATGGGGAACAGGCAGAGGTGCTGGCTGGACAATGTCGGGAATGTACAAGAAGCTATTGGTTTGTTCAGTTTAATCAATTAATATTTTGTTTTGAGAGAAGGCCTCATGTAGCTCAGGGTAGTATTGAACTTGCTATGTAGTTGGTAGATGAGGCTAGCCTTGAGATTCCCCCCTTCTCCATTTCCCAAGTGTTAGACCTACAAGCTTGCCTTACTATACCTGGACTTGGGCTGTTTATTTCAAAATGGCTAATTAGGAGACCATGGAGATGGCTCGGTGGGTAACATTGCTTGTTGT